TTTCAATTAGTAAACATGTTTACTAATTTAAATTTAGAGAGAAAGTATTATAGCGTGAATTTTTAGAAATTGAATTTTGAAACGGTTTCAAATTATAATTTTGCAATGTTTAAACTTTTTATACTTTTAACTAAAATTGTGTATATTTAATTTTTTTTGAATAAGTTTAATTGAATTTTTTAAAATTTATTTGAAGTTTTAATTTTCTAATATAGAAATATTCAATAAAAATTCTCCAATTAAATATACCTATAATTTAATTAAAGAATTTCCGAATAATCGATGAAATTTCGTAAAATTGAATTTTAAACAAAAGGATTTGAAAATTTTCAAAGAAATATTTCAAAAATTATTAAAAATAATTAATTTAAAGAATAATTAGTTAAAAATTCTGGAAAACAATAATTGAATTGAAGTGATGAAAGTAATTTTGAATAAATTAGAGTAACAATCTTGTTATAATATAAAATAATGATTTTATCACTGGGCCATCTTTAATTATTATAAAACATGAAGAAATCGATTGCTTCTATAGTCGAAGACTCGGAGTGATCGATTTCTTCATGTTTTATAACAATTTTTTATAAGTTGTTTAATTTCAAAAAGGTTTGAATTTGAATGTTTTGAAGAATTTTAATTCTTATGAAAAAATTAATAATGACTAATTATTTAATTTTGTAAAATATAAATTAATGTAGTTTTAAAAACCTGGAAAAATTCCGTTTTTTCACCTGGAAAAGTCAGGGAATTTGAAATGAGCAAAAGCGTGGCAGCCCTGAATTCAGTTAAAAATTTAAAATACTTATATAAAATTGTGTCATTTAATTAATTGAAAAAAGTTACTATTTCTATTTTAGTTTTTGCACTAGTCTTGTAATCAGTTAGTTTATTCGACCTAGATTTCTTTATGAAGGGACCTTTTTTTAATAGAAATATATTACTCTCATCATTTAACCTTCATTCGAAACTGTAAGGAATGGAGCACTATAAGTTTAAAGTGTAAATTCATAATGCAAACTTTAATGTAAATTTAATGCAAAAAAACTCGAAATGTATCCACTTCTTCACCAATATAAGTGATCTAATTACGAAAAATTCGATCTTAAAAAAAATATTGCGGTAATAGTTCAGAATTAAGATAAAATGGATAAAATTACGATATATTTTTGAGATACTATAAAATACATTTTTTTTCATTTTTTCATTATGCAAAAGCATGCTAAGTGAGTGTCATTTTATGAATGGCAAAAACGATATAGTTAAGTATCTATACAATAAGAAATAATATTTTGTTTGTGTTTCGAAATAAAGTTAAACGGCTTTCATTGGAAAGTTAAATTGAACCTTGGCTTAGAATTAGTGAGTCAATTTAAATATCCAACTTGATCTATATATTTAAGCAGTATTGATACGCAGAAGAAGTAGCAACCAATTTTATTGATAAGAAATCATTTTTTATCTCTAAATTTTCAACATTTATCTAATGTCTACAAAATTCTTTCCAAAAAAACTTTATCATTTTTTCTTCTTCTTTGCTATATTGAAGATAATAATCCTAATAGTGATTTTTAAGCAATGGTTTTAGTATATAGCCGTAGACCACATCAACAATCTAAACGGCTGCTCCAGACTTAAAAAGTTTTTATGCAGTGTATCAAAGTTAAAAATATAATTAAATGTCAGACTGCTGACGTTTGTATTTGTATAGTAAACTTAATCAACTGCCGAATGAATCATACTAGATTTCCGCCAATAAATTATGTATCAATATACAAAACTTGAAAATATGGTTTGTGGTTTAACTGAATAATACAAAAAAATTGGTACTTTTTTGAAGAAATAAATAAATTTGCAAATAAATTGAATATTTATAAAGTTGATAAATAATTGGAAAAGAGAAGAAAGAATAAAATTCAGAAGGGGTGACGTGAAGGCTAACTGGTAGTAAGTAAAAGAGATGATAAAAGTAAATGAAATATAAAGCAATGAGAACAAATCAAATGCGGCTAAAAAATCTGGTTCTGCAAGGTTAAAATTAACCTGTTTGATACGGAAGTGGGAAAAAAAGTAATACGAAGAATAGCAAAAAAAGGTTGCGAGAATAAAATGAATAAAATTTAATATAACGTATATATAAGAGAATAAATTTTAAAAAAGAAACGTTTCTAATAATTACTTTACTTTATAGTAAAGATAATATTCTAAATTGTATAGTAAATAATGTCAATTTCTGTATAGTTAATAACTCAGTGGAACCTCTGTTATTCGATTTCAAGCTATAAATCAGTTTTTACACAAGATTTCAATTTTCACATCTATCTCGGTGAAAAAATCCCAAAAATAAAAAAATATAAAATTTATTTCAATTAAATTTGCCAAAATTTCCAAATAATTGGAAATCTTTTAAAATTATTTACAAGAATTTAACTATGTCTTCAAAATAAATTAATAAGAATTTTTCAAGAATATAATTTTTTTTTTCATAATTTCCATTTAACTAAATTACATTCAAAACTTAAATAATTTTTTGTTAAATACATATTTAAATATTTATTTATTCTTCCACAGGAATTAAAATCTTTTAAATGATTACCATATAAAATCTTTTCTAAACTTTACAATTTCTAAAAATTACAACTGATGTAATTCTTACAAAATTCTGTAACTTTTTTTGTTGCAACTTTTTAAGAAAATATTAAATTAATAATTTTTTCAAATTCAAATAAAAATAATATTTCTTAAAATTGAAATATTATAAAGAATTCTATCAAAATTTTTTAGAATAGTTGTATTCCTTTGAAGAATTTTAATAAAATTTTAAGAATATAGTTAAATTTTTTTGGAAGAATTTTATGAAAATCGTATTTTAAACAATTTAATTCTTATTCAAATTTTATTATTTATGAAAATAATTGAATTTCTGCAAAGAATTTTATTAAAATTATATTCAAAATAATTAAATTTATCTAAAATCTTTTATAATTTATAAAAATAATTGAATTCTGGTGAAAAATTTTACTATTCCTGAGAATAATTTAATTTTTACAAATTTTACCAAATAGAATTAAAAAAAAATTTTTTTTAAATAATCCAATTCCTCTATAGATTTTTATTAAAAATTTTCAGAATAATTGAATTCTTTTAAGAAATTTTTATTAAAATTTCATTGAAAATAATAGAATTATCGCTAAGAATTTAATAAAAATTCATTTAAATAATTGAATTCCTGTGAAAATTTAATTAAATTTATTAAAAATAATTAAATTTCTGCGAAGAATATTCTTAAAATTATATTTAAAATCATTGAATTTCCGCGAAGAATTTCATAAAAACTCTTTTAAATAATTGATTTCTACTGAAAAATTTTAGGGAAATCGTATTTTAAAAAATTCAATTCCTGTGAAAAATTTATTATTTATTAAAATAATTGAATTTATTTAAAATATTTTAATATTTATAAAAATAATTAAATACTTGTAAAGAATTTTATTAAAATTTTATTCAAACTAATTCAATGCCTAATAGAATTTTATTATAGAATAATAGAATTAGAATTAGAATCTAATAGAATTTAATTAAAAATGTATTAAAAATAATAATTTTAAATTCTAATAAATAAATCATACTAAAATTTAATTAAGTAATTGAATTCTTTTGAAGAATTCTAAAAAAATATTAATTAAATTTTCCCATCAATTCATTAAAAAATTTATTAATTTATAAAAATAATTGAATTTTTGCGTTGAGTTCTATATTATTTGAAAGTAAGTGAATTCCTGAAAAGCATTTTAATATTTATGAAAATAATTGAATAAAGAAAATTTTATTAAAATTCTTGAAAATAATTTAATTTTTGCGAAGAAGTTTATTATTTATAAAAATAATTGAATTTTTGAGCAGAATTTTATTGAAATACTTGGAAATAATTGGATTCCTGTGCAGAAATTTATTTTAAAACTTTTAAAAATAATTGAATTTCTGCCCAAAAGTTTATTAATTATAAAAATAATTGAATTTTTGTAAAGAATTCTGTTGAAATTGTTGAAAATTATATTCTGTTGAGGAATTGAATAAAAATAATAAATTGAATTCCTGTTAAATTTTGATTATTTATGTAAATAGTAAATAAATAATTACGTACAATTTTATTAAAATTTGTTTAAAATAATTTAATTCTTTTTGCAAATTTTATTAAAATATTAGATATTGAGAACCATTGAAATTTTTACAAGAATTTTATTATTTATAAATATAATTGAAATTTTGACGAGAATTTAAAAAAATTTTTGAACATAATTGAATTTCTGCGAAGAATTTTATTAAAATTATATTTAAAGTAATTGAATTTACCTAAAGTATTTTATTATTTATGAAAATAATTGAGTTCCCGTGAAGAATTTTTTGAAAATTCTTTTAAATAATTGAATTTATTTAAAGTATCTTATTATTTATGAAAATAATTAAATACTTGTGAAGAATTTTATTAAAATTTTATTCAAACTAATTCAATGCCTAATAGAATTTTATTATGATTTTTAAAAATAATTTAATTTCCTTGAAGAATTTTATAAAAATTCTTTTAAATAATTCATTCTTTTAGAGAAATTTTATGAAAATCATATTTTAAATAATTGAATTCTTATAAAAATTTTATTAAAAAAAATAATTGAATGTTTGTGAAGAATTTTATTAAAATTATTTCAAAGAATTGAATTCTTTTGGGATATTTTATTAAAATAGTGGACACCTATATTGAAAATAATTGAGTTTCGAAAAATTTTTTTAAATAATTAAATTGTTTCTAAAAAATGTATTAAAATTGTTGATAATAATTTTTTTTATTTCAACTATTAGCGAATTTAATTAAAGTTGTGCAAATAATAAAAAAAATAATGTTCAAGATTCTTTACAACTTGAAGTTACCATTTTTAACACTTAATAATGAAAACGTATAATTACTACTATAAAAAAATGAATTGAAGCATAAAATTCTGTTACAGGTGGTTAAGCAAATGATTCAGCGTGTCTGGACGGAAGTAACAAGACTGACATTGAGGATGCTACAAAGTTGCATCAGCGGAAGATCATCAAGATGTGTCCGCAGAGCTTTGGTCTTTGCCTTTGCATGGGGCCTCGTTATGATAGCCACTCTGCAATTCCGTTACGCTGAAAACAGTATTTTACACGTGAACAATGTCATTGACAGCGAGGGCGTGACTGTTAATAATTTTAAACAAGAACAACAATCAGGTCAGAATCCAAAAGTATCAAATTTTTTCCTAAAACTCTTCTCAGTTATGAAATTCGGCAATTATCGAGATAATTCCACATCTGGCTCAGGCTACACACTCCTCAATCAGGAACGAACTTTGGTCACGAAAATGCCATTCAATTTGGATCCACTTCTCGACAAACGACCATTAAAATCCGAAGACGAACTCATTCAAGACATCGAGGATCGTTTGCCTAGCCTCCCGGTGGCCTACTGGAATAAAAATAGTAAATTTCTAACCAGTCAGAGTAGCAGTAAAGCGGCGAAGACAACGAATAAAAGTGCTTGTGTTGCCAAGTATCCTAGTATTTATGACTTAGAATTTAATAACATTTACTGGCAATCACTGAGGACTAGTAATGGGACTTTTCAATTGTTTGGCGCCTATTACGATGTGAGGAAGTTGTCGAAAATCGGACCCGCCATCAGGATGGTTGGGATGATTGATAGAATTGCGCCTACAATCAAGACTTATTGTCAGTTGTGGTATGACGGCGAGCGAGAACCTAAGGTTGTTGAAATTCTAGAGTATAAGTATATCTGGTTTCCCAAGTGGGGTAATTATAAGCAGGGTATCTATCAGCCTTACGTGATCGCTTGTAGGATACCGCAGACTCACTGGCAAAAAGGTCCGCCAGCTTCCGTGTCTTTGGTGGAGAAGGTCTGCGATACTGCTTCCAATAATCTTAGGGTGATTTATAATAAGCCAGAAAAGAAGAAAGATTTTGCTGTTTGCGTTAAGGGACTGGACTTTCTTCATGAAGATTTATCTGTTCGACTCGTTGAGTGGATCGAACTCATTGGACTTCTCGGAGCGGATAAAATCTTCTTCTACGAACTGCAAGTGAGTTCCGATGATAATAATATGACTATGCTTTCCTCTTTTTTTTCGTTTTTCTTTTTTCTTCTTCTTCTCCGCAAGACACCCAAACATCACAATTTGTTATTTCTTCTTTTCCTGATGTAGATACATTTTCCAATCATCAAACTTGTATATTTCTTGTTGCGACTCTTTAATCACTTCCTCATTCAAGCATGCTCTTCTTGCTCCAGTAAATTTACTCATCTATCAATAATAATTATCTTCTTCTTGTTTTCTTATCTTTTTTTTTACAACTTCCGCATTCATTTGCTTAATAATTGGTAAAATTAAAAAACATATTTCTTTATCTAACGAATATCAATTCATTAGATTAACAGGGTTGCCACAGGTCAGAAAATTCGGGAAAAAGGCAGGGATTTTCATTAAAAGTTACCAGAAAAATTAAATTTTTAAAATTCATAAAAAATTCTGAATTTTTTGTGTCTTTTTTGTTTTCCTCATAAACTATCAAATTACCACGAATTCTAATACAAAACCTTCAATTTTCTCTATTTCAGTCAATAATCTCTTTTTAAATAACTTAATTCCTATCAAATTATTGCTAAATAAATTATTTAATGCATAATTTTACTCAAATATTTCAAAACTGCACTTTCAAAGAGTTGCGTTTAAAATTTTCATAAATAGATGCACTTTAAAAGGTTTCAATTTAAAATTTCCGAAAATTTCATTTTTCAATGAATTTAATTATAATTTTTAAAGAACTACAATGAAAAATTTTAATAATTCAAATTCTTCTGAAATTTGTTAAATTTCAAAAATATATATATTTAATTAATTACGAAAAATAATGGATTTATAGAAGAATATTTGTTGAAAACACTAAAAAAAAATTGAATTTTGCAGAAATTGAATTATTTTTAAAAGTAATAAAATTCTTCTCAAAAATTCAAATATATTTTTAGAAATAATAAAATTCATGGCAAAAATTCAATTATTTTCATAAATATTAAATTTAGATAAATTCAATTATTATTTAAATATAATTTTAATAAACTTCATCGCAGAAATTCAATTATCAAAAAAAAATTTTAATTCTCGTCAAAATTTCAATTATCCTTATAAATAATAAAATTCTTGGCAAAATTTCAATAGTTTTTAATACCTATCTAATATTTTGATAAAATTTTCCAAAAGAATTAAATTATTTCAAAAAAATTTTAATAACGTTGTACGTAAACATTTATTTATTATTTTCATAAATAATCAAAATTTCACAGGAATTCAATTATTTTTATTAAATTCCTCAACAAAATATAATTTTCAACAATTTCAACAGAATTCTTTACAAAAATTCAATTATTTTCATAATTAATTAAATTTTGGGCAGAAATTCAATTATTTTTAAAAAGTTGTAAGAAATTTCTTCACAGGAATTCAATTATTTTCAAAAAAAAAAATGAAATTCTTATCATAAATTCAATTATTTCCAAATATTTAAATCAAATTCTGCACAAAAATTTAATTATTTTTATAAATAATAAAATTCATCGCAAAAATTTAATTATTTTCAAGAATTTTAATAAAATTCTACTTATTCAATTATTTTCATAAATAATAAAATGCTTTTTAGGAATTCAATTACTTTCAAATAATAGAATGCAGAAATTCAATTATTTTCATAAATAAAAAAAATTCATCACATGGTTTCAATTATTTTTAATAAAATTTTTAATGAATTCGTGGAAAAATTTAATTATTATTTTATTAGAATTCTGCAAAAGATTTCAATTACTTTAATAAATTTTGGTATGATTTGTTTATTAGAATTTTAAATTATTATTTTTAAATTTTTAATACATTTTTAATTAATTTTCCTAAAAGAATTCAATTATACTTTCAAAAATAATTAAATTCTAATAAAAAAATTCAATAATTTTCATGAATTTTAACAAATTTCTTCACAAAAATTCAATTTTTTCAAGAATTTTAATAAAATTCTTTTTAGGGATTCAATTATTTTCATAAATAATAAAATGCTTTTTAGGAATTCAATTATTTTCATAAATATTAAAACTCATCGCAGAAATTCAATTATTTTCATAAATTAATAAAACTCATTATAGGATTTCAATTATACTTAATAAAAGTTTTAATTAATTCGTGGAAAAATGCAATTGAATCGTGAATTTCGAAAAGGGCTCAACTCTAAAAGCCATATAAGTGTCATTTTTACATAACAAATGACAGTGAAAATGACTCTTATGATTTTTAGAGTTATGAGCCCTTTATAAAAATTCTTCAAAAGAATTTAATTATTAAAAAAAATGTTAATATAATTTGTTTATTAGAATTTAAAATAATTATTTTAAATACATTTTCAATTAAATTTCTTAAAAGAATTTAATTATTTCGATAATTAATTAAAATTTCACAGGAATTCAATTATTATTTACAAATCTTTTAGAAATTTCTTCGCAATAATTGCATTATTTTCATAATTATTAATCATTGTAAATCATGAAGAACTTGATCTATTTCTTCATGTTTTATAATAATATTTTGTATAATAATAATGATTAAATGTTTATTGAAATTATAAGTTATTCATAATTAAGGAAGATTTCGACTAGTTATTCATGTTATTCATGTTTTTGAATAATTTTTTTCAATTTAAAGAAATTCGTATAGATAAATATAATGAATTAGAATATTCTTTAGGATCAAGGAAAAAGTATAAATTAAATTTTTGTGTCAATCGACTGATTACAATTCTTTTTCGTACGTTTCTAATGGATTTTAATATTTTAATCATCCCTTTATCTCGCGATATAAATCGTTTTTTGCTGAGAAAACAATAGTTTTCATTGTTCAACTTTCCTTCTTTCCTAAAAGGAGTTTCCATTCATTCACATAGTCTTTAGAATTCATTCTAGAATCGTAAAATACTCTTCATCTCTCTATTTCATCTTCGCTTTAAATCTACTTGTTAAAGACTGAAGAATTCCCTTTCGTTCTTAGAATGAATGTTTCCATTTCTTCCATTTCAATTTGCCTCATCTCTTGTAAATTGCCTCAATTAGAATCGTTACCACGTACTGAATTTTTCTTTTCATTTTTCTACACTCCGAATGTATGCAGTAATACAGCGCTCTAATTTTTCTAATGCAATTTCTTTTTGAATATTCAAGTGAAATAATATTTCCAAATACTATATTTTTCTAAATAATGTAACGTATTCTTCGGCGAAAGGAACTATTTTTGACAAAAGTTTGAAATTAAAGTAAATGTGACTTGTTTTCGGTATATAAACTATTAGTATTTAATTCTTTATTATATACAAATCATTATTATACCTATACATTCAGTAAATAATGATTTTGGTGTCAAATAATCAAAAATAAATCGAAAAATACTAAATACCATAAACATAACCTAAAATTTTGGGCAAATGTTATCCTTTCACCGTAGAACTTTACTTAATTTCCAAAAAAATATTACCGACAGAAAAAATGGCTACAAATTTATTTTCATTTGCTTGCAGGTTCATCCAAACGTCACAAAAGTTCTCAATCACTATCAAAAATTAGGAAAAGTGCACGTGACGCCTATAACACTTCCTGGCGGTCAGCCGAATATGCCAATTTTCCAACACATGTACTTGACTAAGAAGACTAATCATAAACGGCAAAACGAACTAATTCCTTACAATGATTGTCTATATAAACACATGTATGAGTATGAATACATTGTTCTCTTGGATGTTGATGAAGTGATAATGCCACTTCAGGATGCAACGTGGCAAGATTTGATGAAAAATCGTGTTCTACCGAAAGCATTCAAATTAAAGAACGAAACGCGAGCTTCCTATAATGTTCGAAATGTTTACTTCCTAGACGATCTTCTTCATTCACATGGTTCATTTAAGGACATTCCAAAGTAAGTTTGCTTTCAATTTTAACTTCAATAGACACTCATGTTATTATTATTATTATTATTATTATTATTATTATTATTATTATTATTATTATTATTGTTACCAATATATTAATAATCACACACTAGTTTTCAAATATTCAAAACGATTTCCTAATTTTTAGAATATTAATGAAAAGAAGAAGTGTCTAAAAATGTAGCAATTACAATTTACCTTATTTGCCTTGATGGATTGTTGCTTCTATTTTCGTATCGAAAATGTAATATTTTCTATTAATAATAGTAACGTTATCCAATAGAATTCAACTTTTGAAACTGAAAATACCTCTTGTTTTAAATTTAATTGTGTAAATATACATAATCCCTTTAGAAAACCGGTTAGTGTTTACATTCTTTGCCCGCGTGTGCCCGCGCGATTGACTAAATTCTAAATTTAAAGACCCTAACCTAACCTCCTTTACGACTGGTGCATGCGCATACAAAAATAGCGGGAATTTTTTAAATTACTTTCCTTGCGGAGAGAAAAGAGTTATAGAAAAATCCAAAAAATACTTTCCTTTCATCCTTTGTATAGATAAAATTAATATTTATGTTTCTAAACATTAAAATTCTCTCATTTATTATGTACATTAGAAAATAAAATTTTATAGAATGATCTTTCCCCCCCCCTCTGCCCTAAGGAGCGTGACGAAGTTTGTGAACGACCCTTAAGGCCCTTTAAAAAAAACAATTAAAAAATCCATTATAAGAGCATGGGGGGAGTGTTAAAAGTAAACATAATATTACAGTAATTGCAAGTCATTAAAATAATGACAATTGGAAATAGAAATGAAAACGAAACAGTGTCTACTAATATCGGCGCATATAATCTTTGCTCTAAATCGGCAATCGTAAACGTTAAATTTAAATAACAGTATAATCAAAATAATAGTATTCCATATTGCAATTTGCTTACTGATACGGGCACTTAAACATTCTTTTCCACCTTAAAGAATGAAAGTACAAGTATCTGAGTGAGAGGAAAACTCTTCCTTATATGTAGGAGGAAGATTTTTGCTCTGACGTTCATGATAGACGATGCATATTGTTCTTTTTATGTCTACAATTACAAAATAGATACCGCATGTACATACTTTCTAAGCAAATATTATTTGCCTTTCTAAAATAAAATGACAAAGTTCAATTAATTGTTTATCAAAGATATAAAAAAAATAGTTCCTACATCAATTTTCTACTCTTCATCATTGTTAGGTATGTCTCTGTAAAATTATGTAATTGTTAAAAAATGTGACGCGTCCCAAAGAAATATAATTATTTTAAGGTTATGTTTGTGTTATTTTTACCCGATTTAAAAGTTTATGCTTGATTGTACAAAACTAAAAGCAGTTTTTAATGATTATTTTTTATGTTAAGAGGGTTAAGCATTCTTATTTTATATTGAGGATTGATTTCCTTTTTTTATTGTCACTTTCGGAAATATAAACATAACCTAAAATTTTTACTTCTTATCGTTTTTTCGGAGCGTGGCAATTATTAAATAATTTGTATGGTAATAGTAATAATAATAATAATAATAATAATAATAATAATAATAGTAATAATAATAATAATAATAGCAATAATAACAATAATAATAAATGAATAATTAACAGGGTTGCCACGCAACCTGGAAAACCTGGAAATGTTAGGAAATTTTATAAACCATGAAAAAACCTGGAAAAGTCAGGGAATTTTAATCAAAATCCTGGTTGTTTTATAAAGTTATTGTGTTTATTCTTGAAATCAATAATTTTAATAACTAAAATTCTTTAATATATATATTTAATTGATTATTAAAAATAATGGATTTATAGAAGAATTTTAGTTAAAAACACTAAAACAAATTGAATTTTGAAGAAATTACAAATAATTGCAGAAATTATTATTATTATTATTATTCAATTATTTTCATAAATAATAACATTTTTATACAGATTTAATTATTTTCATAAATAATAAAACTCATCGCAGACTTTCAATTACTTTTTAAAAAATTGGATAAATTCTTTCTTTAATTCTTATCACAATAATTGTGGAAAGAATTGAATAATTATTATTCAATTATTTTCCTTTGCTACATTTTTTTTATTATAATTTAAGTATTATTTATTTATTTTCAATACATTTTAAATTAAATTTCTTCAAAGAATTAAATTATTATTTTCAAAAATTTTAATGAAATTCTTTGAAACAATTCAATTTTTTTTAAAATAATTTTTATAAAATTCTTCGTATAAATTTAATTAATTTCAAAAATTTGTCAAAATTCAATTAATTTCAATAAAATTTCACAAAAGAATTCAATTATTTAAAAAGAAATTTTAATAAAATTCATCTCAATTATTTTCAAAAATTTTAATAAAATTCTTGGCAGAATTTCAATTATTTTTAATACAATTTTCATCAAATTCCTCGAAAAATGCAATTATTCTTAAAAATTTTATTAAAATTTGCCAAGAGAATTCATATTATTTAAAAATTTGTTGATAAAATTTTTTATGAAAAATTGAAAATTCAATTTTAAGAAACATTCAATATAATAAAATATGTATTTTTGTTTTGAAAAAATGGAATTCTCGTAGAATTTTCTAATAAATATTGATTTAAAAATGAATTTTAGTTAAAATTTTAGATTATAATTATTGTCATTTTAAAAACCTGGAAAAATTCCGTTTTTAACCTGGAAAACCTTAAAAAGTTCGGGAATTTGAAAAGAGCAAAAGCGTTGCAATCCTGATTAACAAAAATATAATTTACTAATTATATAAAATTTCTTGAATTATTATTATTTTTGTTTAAAAAATAGTTAAATAGTTAAAGTAAAATAAAAATATTTCTCTTGATATAAATATTAATATTGTATAATTATAATTTCAGGTACATGCACATGTTGCAACATGTTTACAGGTCCAAGAACTTCACAAAGCCTAATCAATACATCAAGTGTTTTCATAATCCAGAAAGAGTGGTTACGCTTCATAATCATTTTCCTCTGGCCTGCTTAGGGGCTGGATGTACTAGTTATCCAATTGAGACTGAAGATGCTCAGTTGCAGCATTACAGAGCAGACTGTGTTAAGTCGTTGAAGAAATCGTGTGTCGAATATAGAGAAAATAGTGTAATGGACACAACAATTTGGATGTACAAGGACAAGTTAATTTCAAGAATGACCAATACCTTGAAAACTTTAGGCTTTTTTGGACTCAGTTAAATTATAATCGATTTCTTTTTTCTTCTTTTAATGCCAATTGTATAAAAACTTGTCGCTATTATAATTAAACAAATTTTGCTCATTTTTTTAATTTTTTTTTTCGAGAATAAAAATGAAACACTTAAGTCCGCAATGTTTTTAATAACAAAATTTTATTTTTTAAATTTATCTCTATTTTCAATTAATTCAATTAATTAAAATTCAATTAATGTAATTAATAAAAAAATTTCAATTAATTCTATTAATTGAATTAATTATTACTCAAAAGACAATGCTCAAAAAGAACGTAAATTTGTAGCGCAAATAAAATCGTTGCATTATTTTATAGTTTTTAGAAACATTGCGGACTTGGTCCTCAGGAAGAAAAGTTCTTTCTCATTCGAAGAATGTAGTTAAGTTAAAGAAAAAGGAAAAGAGAAGAAAAAATCTCTTACATTTGTATACAATACGTAATAATGTTTCTACGAATTCTAAAACCTTTTTCTTTCCAACTGTTGTACTCGTGCATAATTTTGTTAATCGCCAAAGGGTGATGTGCTCAATAATTGTTTTCATAATTGAATACGAAACAAAACGGTATATCAATTCAATTAATTATTAAAAATGTATTATTTTTTTAAATCTGTATATATTTCTCCGAGCGTAAAAATGTTGCGCTCACTATTTATAATGAAAATTTAAACTTAATGGAAAAACTTTTTTATATTACAAGAAAAATAGTTTATAAAAAGTTTAAATATTGTTCTTACGTTATAAAATTGGAATTTTTAAATTAGAAGAAGCTGAATGACGTATAAAATAAATTTATGTAAGAACTTATTTAATTATAAACTTTATACTCTGTATAAACTATATAAGACTCACTTTTTATTCTTTATGGAAAGTCTCTTTCATTTTTTTTTTTTTAAGGAACAATTTTCTGTCTCCTCGATTTTCTGTTATGTTCATGGTGAAACTTGATCGCTTTTGTGTGTGATTTATTATTATTGTATCCGATATTAATTTTTAAGTTTAATAAGCGAACATTGTTACACCATGAATTCCCTGTACGCTTTCATCGACTTTATTGTCATTTTCATTATAAAAATTAAGTTTGTTGCTTTTATGTTTATGTAAATAAATACGTAATTAATTAAAAAGAACTCTTTAATTTTCATTCCTTAAAATCAGAAAACGAAACTAAAAACAACTCTTACTTTTTTAATTTTCTAAATGAAATGGAAAAAATTGTTTGGATTCGCAAAAATAAAACACATAATTAAAAGATGATTCGTATGACTTTATTTTTATTTTTTTTTTGTCATTTTTTTCGTCTTTATCACCTTCTCTTTTATCAATTCTCTTCTCCTCTCTCGCTCTTTAAAAAAGTAACGAAAATCTCGCTCTTCTCTCTTAGTGTATAACTTTTACAGACGCCAATAATTCATTCGCTTTTTTTTCTTTTGTAATTCTGAATCCCTTTTCAAACACGCAATGCTCTCGCATACTCTGAAAAAATAATGCACGAAGTAAAGAGAAAAAGAATTATATATGTGTACGTGTATAATTTACCGCTCTCTGTCTAGTCGGAAAATTCATTGTAAAAACTATCGATGACAATGACAATTTAGAATCGATCATGACAAAAATATTGTATAAAGAAGAATATAAATATTTTTAAATGTAATCAAAAAGGAACAAAAATACTTATTTTTAGAGATGAGAGTGAAATATATTTAATTATTATTTAACTATTAGATAAAACGGAAATTTTTCATGATCGATTTCTTACAATTGAGACACCGAGGGAAATGTTTCTCACGTTGTTATTGCACCCGGTGTCTATTTTTTTTTTAATAATTTAGCGAGCGGTAGCTTAATCTATAAAAAAGGACTTTTTTTCTTCTTTCTCTTAGAAGCTAATAGTTAATTTTTTAGTACTCTTCTATCATCTTACACACGATTCACAAACATTCTTCCATAACTCTCGCACCAATCACTCGCGGATAAACCGCTAACAAGGTGATAATTATGGCCATTTTTATATTCTGCCTTATTTTCATTTCATATTTCATACTTCGTTCATAATCTCACACTTCATTCATTAAAAAAAAATAAACGATCGTTTATTGAAAGTGGTACACTCTCGATAATATTATCGTAAAATTTTTTTTTTTGTATTTTCGAGCCTGCGAATGTGGAGGAAAACAAGTAACGATTCTTTCAAGAGTGTACATTTTTTTTTTAAATCGATTTGTCGCTGAAAAAACGATCGTTAAAAACGGATTTTTAAAATTTCGAGAAGCGCTAAATATGGCTTTGTTTTGTAACTTCTCATTCTTTCAACTTTAGACATTGCTTTTCTCGTTTTAATATATGTCGTAAGGATTTGTTTTTATATACACGAAGTTTACAAGTGTAGCTTTATTCAGTCGTTGAATTGTCGAAAAAAATGCACTTATCGTCTCTGAATTACTGTCTGGATTTGTTTTTTTTCAATAACTCTATTTTTTTTTTTTAGTCTTTTCTATACTTTTCTTTCACATGTAAAAACATCTTATTAAAACTCAGGAGAAAAAAAACAATATCCAGACAAAAATTCGAGTTATTCTAATTCATAAAATGCGTTACTGACATTCCACTACGTTCGAATGTTTATCAATTATATATTATGAGAAAAGCCTAATCTCAACTCAACGACTGACTCAAGCTACGTTTTGGACGCCTATCGCCTACAAATTCGTTAAGATTCCTCGTGTTTATTTTTCTCCAAGGGAAGAAAGATCTCAAAGAATATTAAACACGAGAGTCTCACGTAAAAAGTTTTGTTTCCTGTTCTTTGACTCTTTGAACAGAACAAAAGCAGGTTAAGAATTGGCGCATTTTAATTCTTTCTGCCCTGAGTGAAACAACTCCCAAGGTCGCGACAACTGTTTATAAGCGGACCCAAATAAAAAAAAAACAACGATAGACAGCAATGCTAATGCCATCTTTTTAAAGGAAATACCAAGAAAATTGGGCTTTTACCAAGGAAGTGTATAACGTGAAAGTTTCGATGAAAATCACGCGCCAATCTCTCATTATTTCGGTCAAATTTTTTCAAGGAACATGAACAAAGTAATTGAAAAAATTAATTATAGAAAACAGAAGAAGAAAAATTAATTTTATAACAATTGAAATTTTTAATTCGATTTTCAAAATTCTTCAAAATTGGATTTACTTTGCCCCTTTGTTCCTTCTAAATATATAAATCTAATCTAATGTTGTTTCTCTTCTCGCTTAACGCTTGCTTTTGATACAGGTACAAATTTAATGTTAAAGGATTTCACGCTATGCGAATGTTTTCTTTAAATCACTATAGTTTTTTTTTAAAAACAGTTGTTAAGACAACTATATAAATCATTAATCGTTCGTCCCTTTCCCCTTCTATTTTTAAAAAATATTTTTTTGCTTCTCCAAGCGATTGTTAAATTATTACAAAGTTCTTAAACACTTACTGAGCAAACTATGCACCGCACAAGGGGTTTATTCACAAATATTCTATCACAATTTGTTTCCTCAATGTCTTTTTAAAAACCTTGGGACGAACGAATTATACAATAATTCAAATCGAGTTTTTCGATGTTTGCAGATAAGTATGCGCATCATCGAGAAAATTCTTTAATATTTTTCAAATTTTCAGCAACTTCACCAAATTGAAAATATTCTTTGTGTGTAAATACTACGCACAATATTACCATGAGAGGGAGGGAAACTCCTTCTCAAAACAAAAATCGAGTTACGTGTACTATACATGTATGTTATATCTTGGTTCAAGCTGTCAAAAAAGAAAAGTTAGTAACTTTACTGTCAACGTTAACGTTTTTATAATCAAGAAAATACGTTTACTTTTTTTTATTCCTGTGCGTGTCTGATTAAACAGAATTTACGGGAATCATCTCTGCATACTTTTCCAAATTCTCACAAATTCTACAAAACTGAATTATTAAAATTATAAAAAAAAAAATATATGAAAGTTGAGACTTGTATTACTTTCTATTATGATTATGATGATTAATATTATTATTAGTATTATTACTACCAGTCAGTGGAAAAGCGCAGAGACATCATCGCGTATTGTCTTAAAAGAAACGTTTAAAAGATGAAAAAACACTGTTTGAAAAAATTAATCGGAATAAGAAGCTAATTTTTACGGTAAACATAACTGTCTAAATTGAAACTGAATATAGTAACTATTGATAGTGATCGACATTACTAATCAGTGAATGTCATCGGTAACGTCGTTTTCGTTGCAGTCAAAATATCGGAGACATGAAACAAATTCACGTCCCGATTAGAAATCACAAAAATTGAATTAGAAATTCACAAAATTGTTTTTCTTTTTGTCGATGGTGTGTGGCTGTTTTTTTTTAAAGTTGTGGATATAAAGACGAATTACTGCAGCGAGAAAGGGAAATGTTTTTTTTTTTCAAGAAAAAATATATGTGTATGTTCGCATTTTTAGCCACTTGGTGATGCGACAATCGGCGTATTTTGACGTTCAAGAAGAGTCGAACGAGCTTTTAAACGTCTCTGCATTAGCAGACTTTCGCTGGGTGGTGATAGACCAAACAAATTTTTTATTGGATCCTTGTCGATCAATCGATTCTTACCGATGATCTTGGAATCACTTAGATCGATACTAGAACGCACCGAAGAAGATCTGTGGCGCGAGCCAGGTTCAAATTCGCAAGACGAATGTGTCGCGCCATTCTTATTACTGTGTTCTGACAATTCACTGCTTGAGTCAGACATATGACCGTATGGATGATTATCGTCGTCAGTTGATGATGTCGACAATCTTGGCTCTCTGTTCTCTAAGAGCTCCTCCAAATTCACGGAGAAATGCTGGAAAACCACGCGATTCACCGCCATGGCTGATTCGGCAAAGGCAGACAATTCACGAGCTGAGTTGTTCCTCCTAATAAGAAAAATTGAATTAATTAAATTTTTGAAAATATTTTCTAAGTAATAGAAATTTTATTTACAGGGTTGCCACACTTTTTACTCATTTGAAATTCCCTGACATTTCCAGATTAAAAAAAAAATTTTTCCAGGTTTTTAAAACTATATTTACATTTTTTATCAAATTAAATAACTAATAAATTTTTATAACTAAACGGAACATTGACATAATACTGTATTATTATAATATTTATTTATTACTCAATCAGAGTTGTCACAAAAATTTAATTTTCCTTTTCACAGACTTTTCCCTGAATTCCGGACAAAATTTTGACTTTTTCTCTGACTTTAAAGAAATGATTAGAAAAATGAAATTAGAAAATGATTAGATACTCAAAAAATGTTCTATTAGATTTATTTACGAATTTCTTTAATTGAAAAAATATTCAAAAACATCAATAACTTCTTTTTTAAATAAATATAATAATAATAATAATTTATTAAAATAATGACAGAATCATTATTTTATATTATAATAATATTATTACTGTAACTTATTCAACATTATTTTCATCATTTTAATTTAATTACTATTTTCTAGAATTTCCAACTAAAATTCCTCTTTAAATCAATTATTTTTAATAAATTTTTGAAAAAGTTCTTTTTGAGAATTTTTAAATCGATTTGTTTACACTTCAATTTTACCAAAAATTTCGATTATTAGGAAATTTTTCAATTAAATATACATTAGAAAATAAAAACTTCAAATAGTTTCAAAAAAATTCAATTAAACTTTTCCAAAAAATTAGCTCTATAAAATTTATAATTAAAATTATGAATCCTTTTCAAAATTCAATTATTTCTAAAAATTCACGCTATAATCACGCTATAAGGCTTTTAATATTCAATTATCTAAAATTTTAACTAAAATTCATTTTTAAATACATTTTTATTCGAGAATTCAATTATTTAAATAGGTACGAAAATAAATAATTTATTGAATAATTGAATGTTTCTCAAAAAATTGAATTTTAATAAAATTTTAATATTATTTTCTTAAACATTTGAATTATTGCAAAGAAATTTATAAAACAATTTGTAAAGAATTGAATTTCTGTGATATTTATATTATTTATGACAGTTTTGAAAATAATTGAATTTTTGCAATCATTTATAACTTCTCCAAAATTCAATTTTTTTTCGTATTTTTAACTAAAATTCTACTATAAATCTTTTTTTTTTTAATAACTAGTTAAATATACATTAAAATATTTAACTAATTTCTACAGAATTTAAATTAAAATTCTTTAAAAAAGTTAGTTCTATAAAATTAACAATTAAAATTATGAAAAATTCAAATTTTCAAAGATTTCAATTTGAAAACTTTTCAAAATTCACGCTAAAATGCTTTTAATATTCAATTATTATTATCTAAAAAAATTTAGCTGAAATTTGTTTTTAAATTAATTTTTATTAGAAAATTTTACGAGAATTCAATAATTTAAATTTAAATAAATAATTTATTGAATGTTTCTCAGAATCGAATTCTAATAAAGAATTTTATTGAACAAATTTTTAAACAATTGAATTCCTTTGACAAATTTCAATAAAATTTTTAAGAATAATTATAAATTTTTTCGAATATTCTTAGAGAATTAAATTTTTTAAATACGAAAATTCAATTTTTTATAATAATTGAACTGGCCATGTTTTTTTCTTCAGTTTATTAAGATTTAAATATTTTCAAAAAATAAAAATAATCAAATTTTTGAAGAATTTTAATTGTAAATATGACCATTATTTCTCCGAAATTTTAATAAATCCAAAAAAGTAAATTTTTATTTGCTTAATATTCGAAGATAATTGAATCTTAAAAAATTCTATAAGAATTAAGTAGTTTTTAAAAATATTTTAATGTAATTTTTCAAAAACAATAGAAATTCTTAAAGGAGTTTTTGTATTATTTAAAAAAACTAATTAATTTTTTGATGAATTTTAATGAAATATTTTGAACATGAATATTTCTCCAAAATGTTAAAAATAATTCTAAAATGTTATTATTTTTTGTATGTATTTAAATTTTCGAAAATATGTAATTAAAAGTACTGAAAATACTAAATTTAAAAAAATTAGCAGCTAATTTTCATTAATTTTCAGTTTTAAATTTTCGTTTAAAGATTTTTCATTAAAATTTTTGACAATTCAATTATTTTTAAAATTTGCAATTAAAATTCTTCAATAGTTGATTTTTAAAAATTCTAACAAAATACTTGAAAAAAATTAATTATTTTCAATTAAATTTTACAGAAATTTCAATTACTCAAAATCTTTTTAATTGTATATTTTAAAAAATTTAAATAGAAAAATTATTCAAAAATAATTTCTGAAAGATTTGTTTATAGTTGTTATTCGCACTATAAAATTCGAATTGAATTGCATTTCATACTAAAAAATATGATATTTTCTTGCAATGTTTGGAAAAAAGTTGAAAGTCGCAATTTTTGAAAATAAGTCGAAAAAAATCTCAATTTTCTTAATTTCCCTGACAAAAAAATTTTTTTTCTGACATTTCCCTGACTTTGCTGACATGTGGCCACCCTGATCAATGATTTTTCCAGGTTCTTTCAAGGTTAAAAAATTCCCTGACATTTTTAGGTTTTCCAGGTGGCGTGGCAACTTTGTATTATTAGTTGATGAGTGGAAAAAACCACATTTATTGTAAAATTAACAGTTTTTCATCAGCAATACCTTATGATGTGCGGAGTGACCAAGGACCTGTTTCCACACTCAACACGACTGGGTCCAGGCGTGATCCAAGGATGTTCGAGGACACACTCCGCACTGAGTCTTTGATGGGCGTTTTTAACGAGCAAACCTCTAATGAGGTCCTTGGCGTCTTCGGAAATAGTTGTCCATTCACTGTCGGGAAATTCATAGTTGCCTTCCTGGATACTGGTGAAGAGCATTTGCTGGCAGGCTCTGCAATTCTCACCCCTTTCCCAGCCACAGTCAGTGCCGCAATTTCCATAAAACGGAGGATAGCCGCACAGTAGAATGTACATAATAACGCCCAGACTCCAAAGATCACATCTCTTATCGTAGTAATTTGCCTCTCCGATAAAAGCCTCCACTACTTCTGGTGCCATAAACTCTGCACTGCCAACTGGTGTTAAGAGTTGAGGAGTTGCTACTGGACTTGACAGGGAGTTGTTGAATTTTATTCCCGATCCAAGATCAAAATCGCACACTTTTATTGGTGTCAGTTTGTCAGGATGAACACACAATATGTTCTCTGGCTTCAGATCCCTGTGAGCAATTCCTGAAAATTTTTTCAACAAATTAATAATCAATCAATTCAAAGCAATTCAATTAATATTCGAAATTTATTTATTACAGACAAAAATTATCAACGTTGCCACAAACATTTAATTTTGTTTTTTTCTTAATATTCAGATAAAATTGACTTTTTCCCTGACTTTCTTTTTCCCAGAATATTCTGATTCACTCTAAAAATTATTTGTTACTCAAATAAATGTTTTACAAAAACATATTTTACAAAATAAATTTACAAATTTCTTCGAAAGTAATATTATTCGAAAACATTTTTGAAATTCAACAACTTTATAAGAATAATATAAAACATAAAGATATCGATAAAGATATCGATATCATGTTTTATAATAATAAATAATTTTTGAAAAAGTTCTTTGAAAATTTTCATATTTTTTTATTTGTTTATAATTCAATTTTATAACATTTCTATTAATCGAAAATTCTTCAATTAATTATAAATAAAAAACAATAAAAACTTCAAATAATTTCAACAAAAAATTCAATTAAACTTTTGCAATAAAATGAATTCTATAAAATTGTTACTTAAAAGTGTGAAAAATTCAAAATTTCAAAGATTTTAATATGAAAACCTTTTTAAAATTCAATTATTTCTAAAAATTCACTTTATAATTCTTATAATTTTCAATTATCAAAAATTTAAACTGAAATTCATTTTTAAATCAATTTTCATTAGAAAATTCTACAAGAATTTAATTATATAATTGAATGCTTTTTTAAATTGAATTCTCATAGAAAAAATATATCTATAAATTTGTAAATAATTGAATTCTATCGACGAATTTTAATAAAATTTTGATGAAAAATGACATTTTTCAAGGGATTCGAATAATTTAAAAAAAAGAAATTTATAACAAATTTGTAAATAATTAAATTCCTGTGAAAATTTTATTATTTATGAAAATAATTAAATTCTTTTAAAAATTTAATTAAAAATGTATTCAAAAAATTATTTTAATTTCTAATAAAATTTTTAAAAATAATAGCATTTTTCCAGGAATTCATTAAAAATTATATTCAAATTCAAAATAATTGAAATTTTTATTATTTATGAAAATTTCCAGGAATTCATTAAAAAATTGATTTAAAAATAATTGAAATCCTATGATGAGTTTTATTAGTTATGAAAATAATTTAATTTTTACAACGAATTTTATTACAATTTTTAAAAATAATTGAATTTTTGTGAAGAATTTTTTAAAAATCTTTTTAAATAATTAATAATTTCGAAAATTTTATGGAAATTGTGTTTTAAATAATTGAATTCCTGTGAAAATTTTTCTATTTATAAATAAAATTAAATATTTGCATAGAATTTTATAAAATTTTTTTTTTTAATTATTGCGAAGTCTTTTGGAAAATTTTATTAAAATTTTTGAAAATAATTGAATTTTGGAGAAGAATTACATTATTTATAAAGATAATTGAAATTTTGACGAGAATTTAAAAAAAATTTTGAACAAAATTGAATCTTTGCGAAGAATTTTATTAAAATTATATTCATAATAATTGAATTTATCGAAAGTAATTTATTATTTATGAAAATAATTGAATTTTTGCGAAGAATTTTATTATATTTATAAAAATAATTGAATTTTTGTGAAGAGTTTTATTAAAATTCTTGAGAACAATTGAATTTTTGCTAAGAATTATTTTATTTTTGAAAATAATTTCTAAATTAATTTCTAAATTTTATAAAATTTCAAATTAAAACCTTTGGAAGTTGATCTATTTAATTGCAAACGCAATTCTTTTAAAATTGAATAAATTTTGAAACATTTGATTTGAATAGTAGTTAAAAATTACACAAATACATTCGGACAAGTGGTTTTTTAATAAAAAAAAAATTACTCCAACGTTTCGAAATCAATACTATTTCTTCTTCAGGGAGTCAATAAATCAAAAGTTTTACATTACATGTCAAAAGAATAAAAAATTTAGCCAAAAATTGGAATTTAACATTTGCAGTTAGTAACAACGGAAAATATAATTCATTACTAATAGATTATAAAATTAAAATTTTTCCCAGTACTTTTATAAAAAAATTCCCTGACCTGTGGCAACTCCGATTATTGAAATCTGTTGTAATTACCTTTTTTATGAAGGAAATTGAGTGCACTGGCAATTTCTTTGATGATTTGGCTTGCCTCCCTCTCGCTGAAGTGATTTTTCTCTTGAATTCTGCGCAATAGCTGGCCACCATTCACCTTTTCAAAGACGAGGTAGAATTTGTCGTCATCTTCGAAAAATTCAATGAGCTGAATAATGTTGGGATGTCCTTGGCAGTGGTGGAAAGTCTCCACTTCCTTGAACACCCTAGTTCGAGCATGGCCTGGAATCTTGTCGATGATTTTAACAGCATATTCCAGATCAGTGTATAATGAGGTGCAAGCTTGTACTGAAGCGTAGGCGCCTTCACCAAGAACTTCCCCAGTGAGTTTGTAGAGTTCTGCAATAAAAATCCACTTCTTGTATAAACACATCGGATTTATCATTTTATTTACTAACTACTCATTATTTTATTTATTTAAAGACTTTCACCTTCATTTCAAAGAGAAAAATCATCGTCTGACGATCTTTCTTGCCAAAAGTTTGGCACACAAAACAAAAAGCCAAAAAAACAAAACTTAAGGCTAAATTATCAATTTATATCAAATTTTTAATTTAAATACGTATTTAAAATACGTGACTGACTATATAACTGACTTATAAGAGATCATTTCTGGACTTCTGGTGGTATTTTTTTGTTATATTTTGGATTTGAATTTAGTAGATTTAGTGGAAGAATATGAATTTAAGTGATTAAAGTTTAATAAAGGATTACATAGCAGGCGTTAAGTTGCACGTATTTGGTGTGTATTTCCGTGCATACATGCGATTGTATAAGTGTGAGGCAATGTCAAGGTCAAAGGGAGAGAACTTGGTTGAACCACACGGCGCAACTACGTTCCCCTCTGTCTCTATCACTCTTCAGCCATTAGCTATAGTTCATATAAATTCTCCTCCAGTTTCCCCTCTTCGACCAACCCTCGACAAAGATCTGCAGCACTGTAGAGTTGAAACGTACTGTACTCGAAAAAGTACACTCAAAACAAAAATATTAGCACACTCAAAAATTATCGAGTACTCAGGCCTTTGCTCAGGATACAAACAAAATAGTAGGTACAAAATAGCGATCCAACACCGACAGAAACGCAAAATACAAAATGTGTATTACAAACAAATTTACATATCTTATTATTCTGAACTATTCTTCATTTTATTATGGCCTTAACGAAGATACGAAAATAACCCTAAATAACGCTAGAAAAAGTGATAAAAAAGTGATTTTAAAAAAGAGTCCAAATTATTTATTTTTTCTTGTAGAAATTTCAATAATTCGTTCCTACTTTCTATAGAAACGAAAGGCTGGCAACACTGCCGGCATGAAATATAGCTGAAATCCAATAACGTTTTCCACTTCTCTGGAAGAATGCTTAAAAATGCAAAGATCTCATGAGAGTAATAACCAGTGAACGTAATATATGATTTCATCATCCAAAAAAAAGCGCTTCCTACTTTAAATTTTCAAAGAATCGAAATTTTTTCGGAACCTCGTGACTTTTATATACCCTTAAGGTGCAATACAGTCGACTTAGTCCATTAAAAGTACAAAAAAAAGTCGAAAAACTCGTTTATTTTACATCAGATTTGTCACAAAAACTTGATTTTCTATTTCTGGAAGTTTTAACTAAATTTATTCAAGATTTGAATAATTATTTTCAAAAATATGTATTTAAATACGAAACCTTCGGAAATTTGATTATTTTGAAAAATTGCTACTATAGTTCTTCAAAAATTCAATAATTTTATAGAATTTTTAACTAAACTTCTAATTCTCTAATTTTAATGTCTGCTGTCCAAAGCAATTATTTTTTGTAGATTAAAAATATTAAAAATAGTTCAATTTTAAAAAATTATAAAGAAAAAAATTCTAAAAATTACTTTTTAGACGTTTTATCTTCATAGGTACAATTTTTTTAAGACTAATTTGTAATTCAAATTCTTCAAAATTTGACTTAAGAAGTTTTAATAAAATACTTTTGTAAAAATCAATTATTTTCAATAAAATCTTACAAAATTTCAATTATTTAAAAACTTTTCAATTATGAATTGAAAATATTGAAAATTTGAAAATAATTATTGAATAATTTTAAATATTTAATTGAAAAAATTCTACAACTTATACTTTTTTAAAAATTGTTTCAGTATACAATTGTTTAAAAATAATTTTGATTAATTTTCACTATCAAATATTTTCATTAAAATTTTTAAAAATTCAAACATTTTCAAAATTTGAATTTAAAATTCTTCTAAATTTGACATTTAAGGAATTTTAATTAAATAGTTTTAAAAAATCAATTTTCAATAAAATTTTACAAAATTTCAATTATTTAAAAACTTTCCAATTATGTAGTAATTAAAAATATTAAAAATTTGAAAATAATTGAAATTTTGTAAAATTTTATTGAAAAATATTCTAAAAATTATTTTCAGGGTGGCCGCAAAATTGACTTTATCAATTTCCCTGACATTTTACTGACATAACAACGAATTTCCCTGACAAAAATTTTTTTGTTTAGAGCAAAAAATGTATTGCATGACCGTCTTAATTTCTTTAATTGACCTGACAAAAGAATTTTTCCTGACATTTCCCTGACTTTACTGACAAAATATTTTTTTTCCCTGACATTTCCCTGACTTTAGTGACTTTACTGACATGTGGCCACCCTGATTTTCAATATTGTTAGATGATAATTTTGATTAATTTTCATTATCAAATTTTGAAGATTTTGCATTAAAATTTTTAAGAATACAAATTATTTTCAAAATTTGAATTTTTAAGAATTCAATTATTTTCCAAATTTAAATTTACAAGAGTTCTCTTGTTTTCAAAACTTAAATTTGTAAAATTAATAAAAATTTAACTTTCAAGAATTTTAATGAAATAAATTTTTAAAAAAATCAATTATTTTCAATGAAATTTTACAAAATTGCAATTATTTAAAAACTTGACATATTTCGAAAAAATAATTACTTTGAATAAATAATTATTGAAATATTTGAGTACAAAAATCAGAATAAAGTATAATCTTTTTATAGAATAGAAAATCTAAGATAAACTTATGAAGTTTATAATGATAATATTCACACTTTAATAACAACCGGAATAATGATTTCTTTCGATATATTTTAAAATTATTCCAGTCTTGAATGAATACAATGGAACTTAATGGCGACGTGCGTCCTTCAGAGTGAAGGTCCTTTAGCACTTTTTGCAGTTAATTTCCATGTTATTCATTGTTGACAGGGTTACTATGACTGATTTCTTCAATAAGCTATATATTCAGTTACATACCGGCGTGCGTAAATTCACCCGAGTTCATTAAAAGTCAATTTAACTCGATTTCACTTTATTAAACCCTTTGACCACTTTTATTAAATTAAAACTCAAGTCTTAAAAAAACAATCACTCATTCTATATACTCTCTGATACTTTTCGAAAAATACCCGAAAGTTTTTGCACCGACTAACTCTGAACATACTTTTACTATTCATTTTTTTTATAAAGAATTTAGAAGAAAGAATTTTTTAAGAAAGAAATGAACTTCTTAGAAAATAAATTCTTTTTTGGATAATAAAGTTTGAAACCTATGAAAGAAATAGTTCACACACTTTCTGTCAATGACAATAAATGCAAGCTCATTTATCTAAATTGTAGTAAAAAAAATACGCATGTACGGAAAAGTTTTTAAAATTATGCCTACATTACTGTATATTTACATTATACAGTAAAGAGAAACGATATAAACACTTTGTGCTTAATGACTGTTTATTAAAGGCAAGACCAGTGTTTGTAAATGCGGAAGTAACAAAGGTCTACAACCTAGTCGAGGATAAGAAAAACGCACGTCGACAGTGTTCTGTTCATTAACAAAAATCGTTTATTATTCACTTCTTTTATATTCTTTCTCGAAAATTAAGGTGAAAGCCGTAAAAACTAACAACCAAAAAGGAAATATTCTTGAAAAAGTATAATCAAAAATGAACAAAGAACTAAAAATTCTAATACTGATAATAACGACTCAAACAATTCTAGTTTTTATTATTATTCGAAGTCCCTGAATTTAGCTTCGTAAACAATCATTTCTCCACAAATAAATAATAAAAAACGATTTCTTTAGGTAAGCAAAGGTTTCTTTTAAATAAAAATACCGAATATCTCAATTGAACGAGTAAAAGAAAGTAAAAATAAACGAATTGTCAATTTACCTTGAAAGCAAGAAGACACCAAGGATGAACCAGATCTCTTCTTCCTGCGTCTTTTGCGTCTGGCTTCTTCCTGGCGAGCTTGCACCGAACTCATTGACTCTCCAGTTGAAGATACACCATCACCTGAAAAACAGAACGAAAACACAAATTAATTCACTAAAAAATTGCATTTTATTAAGTTCTACCTTCCCAAAAAAGGTAACTAAGAAGCAAACGAATTGTAAGTTATGTTTGGGTTAAATTTATCTCGATTAAAAGTATCCTTTTCGAAGTTTTTTTTTTTAATTCTTTTCGAAAACTTTTCTGTAATAGAATTTTCTTTCTGTATTTTTACTCAAAAATTATAAACCAAACCTACAAATTTTTGCTTCTTAGGCCTCAAGTAATATCTTGTCAGCCGATTGAGGGCACATTGCAAAAAAAAAAACTGATGACTGCAGAAAGTTAATTGCAAATGAGAAATAACAAGTTTGTGAAAGTAATTCTTGTTTTAATTTTTGTTTTTTCCAAATTATAAAAAAGACCTATTTTGAAAATTTCTAATCTTCAGGCAGTGATGCTATAACTACCAATTTACTGACAATTTGCTTTAAAAATCTACTAATTTCTCAAGTCTTTTAAGTTCCCTTCTTATGTAATTCAATCGATTTTTAAAAAAAGTTTTAAAAATCTACTAATTTCCCAAGTCTTTAAGTTCTTTTTTATGTAATTCCATCGATTTTTTAAAAAATCGATGGAATTACATAAAAAAGAACTTAAAAACTCAAGAAATTAGTGAACACGCTTTTTTGCTCGGAAAAATTCCTTAAAAAATCGAAAGTCCACAAAAGATTAAAAGAAAAAACGCAATTTACTTGAAAAGGAAAAAAAGTTACACAATATGTTTTGTTTAGAGAATATTTTCTTTACATTGTACAGCAGGAACACGTGACTCGTGCTTTCGCTATCAACCACTAAAGCCGGTGATGTAACATATTGTTCACAAAGTTATCGATAGATATGGCTAGGTATTAAAGAGGGAAGATTAGTCACTGCTTTTATTGCTATTTAACCTTTTTTTTATTTCTTCATTGATCCCTATCAACGTTATTTTCTGTTTTTATAAAAGTAATCATCTTTTAAATAAAGCACAACAGGCCAATGTACGATTTTATCTCTTTCTTCAATTAAAATTCAAATATATAATCCACAATTGACAACGTCTGTAAATTCAAAATCCTAATTTCCAAGTGAGTAAATTTTTAAGAAGACTTCTGCGTATTTTTTTAAAACAATTTTGAATTTTTACTATTTTTGGAGAAAAAATTGCTATGATCGAAGTAAATTTTTGTAAAATGAAACTTTGAATTTGAAAACAACTTTTATTCTGACTTTTATGAATATGCGATGCACCATGAAAAATATAAGGGAAAAGAAAAATAATCAGCGTCAAAGTTGAGAGAGCAAAACAAAGAAAGTTAATGGTTGCCAAAGAGGATCAAAGCCATCTAATTGGTATTTGTGTCGACGTTGGTTGGCAACTCGCATGTACCTCTCAGATATATACTCATTGCAGACCTTACACAAGTGCATTGTCAGTGTATAAATGCATGTGAGGCGGGGTTGAAAATCGAAGAGGTCGTATTATCCAAGGTCTCTTCAACCCGCCAAATGGCACGTACGCACAAAACCAGGAATTCAAAACTCTTTCCATAAAAATAATATTAATACGATTAAATTATCTAAATTTAGGATCAAGACTTTTCTAAAAACAAACATTTTCTCGAAATCTAAGAATCTTTTCGAAAAAAATAGACTTTTGAACTGAGACTACATACCAAATTCTTCAGACATGAAATTTTGTATACATAGCAAAGAAATCAAAAAAATATTCTTTAGAGGCACAAATTTTTCAACATCTTAAACCCAAAATATCCGTCTTTACCCACAGTTTATCAAGGATATCAAAGTGCGACAAAAAAAGTATCAAAAACGTCGCATCTTAAACCCAAAATATCATTTTTTACACATAGTTTATCTAAGCATATCAAAGTGCGACAAAAAACCCATATCAAAACATTGCATCTTATAACAATTTTGATATGTTGTCACAATTTCGTATAAAATTAAAAAAGACAGCATTTATCGATACGAAAACAAAAGTAAAGAAATTTTATTGACTACCTTTTGATTTTTAATGTAAATACCTAAAAAAAAGGACAAATACCGCATTCAGTAGTGTACATTAACTTTTTGTTTAAATGACATCAATAAGTTTTTTTCAGCCTCCATATAATTCAATAAAATTAAGAGTAATCTAACAATTAAAAAAAACCTGCACTTTAATGCACTTTACAAAAAAATTGTCAATATTTTCAACTAAAAAACCAAATACGAAAAGCAAAGTGTGTGATGTAATTCAAAGAGTAGATGATGTTTGAGTGAATATTTGTTTTCTTGAAAGGCAAAGCATCTGTTTTACATATTGTAAAGCCAGATGGGACCGGTCTTACGAAACCGGTTTATTCAAGAGGACTTTTAAAAAAAAACATCACTTCGAGATGTGAAAATACAATACTTGGAGAAAAAAATTAAACAATTAGGGACTTTCTTTAATGAAATTAAAAAGAACAGATAAACTTTTCCCTTTCTCGTTCAATTTTCAACTATTCAAAAATTACAGTTTTGGAATCACTCAAAAACCGGTATAACAAAATTAGAGTAAAAAAACTATATAGTAACAATATTTGTAGAAAAGAAATCGTAGCAAAAAATTGTAATATAAAAAACAGAAAAGTTTGTAAAATTTAGCGTGATTGAGTCGGTAAGAAATTATATTTTTCCTCATAAAAGGAAGTAATTGCGTCGTCGCTTTATTGGAATCGATACTTTAATTCTTAAAAATCGATGAATAAACTCAGTTTTATGACCTAGAATATACATGTATATCGTGGAACTAGGCATTAATGGAGAAAATTAACCGGAATTTGAAAAAAGAAATGTTTCCTTTGAGTAAGTTTCATACTTTCACATCTCTAGTTTTGTGATAAATATGTAAATTTCAATGCGATTCGGAAATAGAGATATTTAAAACGTAAATATCCATTAATTTTCAGTTTCTATCGAAATTAAAAGTCTAGACCAATGACTAATTTTATAAGTAAATATAAACATATATATTTTATAATAACTAATTTTTATATTGTCTCTTAACAAGTCAACTGACTTTACTTAATTCTTTCATATACACCTCGGAAGTGAAATATATCCGGACACTAAAACCTAAAAAAAATTGTTTCATTCTTTTGCGAAAAAAATGCTTTTTATCGCTCTTCAACTTCGTGAAATTTTAGGCTAAGTTTCTAATTTTTTGAATGAAAATAAACATAAATTTCGGCTTTAAGCAGAAACATTCAATTAAGCTAAAAATAGGTTCTTGAAATTAGCAATTTGCTCCTTAGGTTAATTAGCCATTGATAAATTTAAGATAAAAGATAAACAATTATTTAACTTTATCTTCAATGTCGATAAACTATCTGATGAAGATTGCGCACATGTAATTGATAATTTCTCATTTTCTTCAAAAACTTATCAAAGGACAAAAATATTATTTGATAATTTCGTGCGCGGAATTATCCGAAAATTAACAAAATTTTACAAACGTATTTCTTATTGAAAATATCTTTTGTTTCAGGATTCCTTTGTTATGGGGTTTTGCAGTAGCAGTTGAGAAAGAGCGGTTAATTTTAACGTGTGGGGAGTGAAATTACCCCAAACAGTCGTTCTTTGTTAGCTACCCCAATAATCAAAATGCTAGGGGGGAAAAATCCAAGGGCAAATATATCCAACAAGTATCGGACAGATGATGATTCTAGTAATTCCGTTAATGCTTCCTCATAAAATATCCATATTTGTTGCATTTCGAGAAAAAAAAACGGTCGACGCCAACTTCATGGACTTGAAAAATATCGATATTTTTAAATATAATTACGGTTTAGTTACAATTTACGATGTTTTGTTTTATTTCTTTTTTCCTAAAATAAATTATAAGTTTTTCTGCGGATATCAAAATTGAGACAAAAAACGAATCAAAACGTTGCTTGTCTCAATTTTGATATCCTTAAAAAAAGTAATGCATAAAACAATATTGCAAGTTGAGGCGAAAGTTAGCAGCCCGATGCGGCTCACGGAAGAAATTGGAATGTCAAGTGACGGGGTCATGGCACGACAATGCACAAGAAACGCTTCTTGGTGACAGTAAGTTGTACATCGAAATTTTTATAACGATTTCGCTGTATGCATACATATATATGTACACCTAGTTATATACAGTTGGTGGGCGTTTATAATAGCGTGGGTTAAAGAGAAATCATTTGAAACTTTGCTATTTGCTCGCTTAGCTGTATGTACAGGACGACGTTCATGCATAATGGCAAGGATCAGTTCATTGTCTTAGAACTCCCTGATCTCACATCTCGATATTTTAACTTTACAGATCGATCGTAAATCTTTCGAACGAGAATATATTTTCTATTCAATAAATTGTTCCCACGATCTAACTCTATATATGCACTATGCAGGAACTCTAATTTTTCAGAAACTGTGGTTTAATTGAAAGATTTATCACATTGATATACATTAAATTTCCTTTTAGATCATGAATTATTTTATGTTGCTTTTTAATTGTGGTTTTTTTTTGCAATGTTTGAACTTAACCCTCTGTTGATGCTAACTTATTCCCACTCTATCGTCATAGAAAGTAACTATGGACCACACCAGTAACTATGGACAAAAAGTATAACTACGATTTTTGATGATAATGGTCGTTGGCAACAGCAGAGACACTTGGGTCGCTGAAATTAGCGTCGAAACGCTATTTTCCCTAAAATGAAAAGAACAAAACTTTTTAAGGTTTTAGATTAACCCTCTGCTGATGCTAATTTATGCCCACCCTATCGCCATGAACATTCGTCCAAACTGACGATTTTTGCCGATAACGGTCGTTAGCAACAGCAGTTAAAACAATAGTCCGAACTTATTTGTGACTCCCCAGGTGAATGAAAGAAGTGAAATTAGTAACATTTTCATCTCTAACAACCCTGAGAAAAATTTTTTGATGCTAGCGTCGATGCTAACATTAGGAACATACCTAAGAAGCAAATGATCTTAAGCTTAACAGTTGGATTTCATAGTTATATTAAACCATCTAAAGTGGAAAACTTTTTCCGAAAAAATGCATTTGAATCAAGAATACAATATACAAAGGTTTTAACCCGAAGCAGGTATACAGATTTTTCCCAGAAGGCCACAAAAACTACATCTCTTTAGAAAGCACCTACAGGATCTAAAAAAAGGTATCTTCACAATAGATCCTATTTTTTGAATATTCAGTTTCAAAACTACAAATAATTGTTCGATTTTGGATTTTCTACATCAAAAAAATGTGTCTTTATCTATACCCAAGGGAAATTTTGCAATAAAGCATTGCCAGAAAGATGCGTATACTGTTGTTTTGAAGTGGGTTAGTAGTAGTCGAAGGGGGAATAAAAGGGAGGAATATTGCTAGAGTAGGGCAGGAAGAACAAAGGACAAAAGGAACGCGTCTCTGCGCATGCTTCTAAATAAGCTATATGTAGCATCTATGGGGAAATACACACATCCCCCCATAGATTCACGGGGTACATCTGCTTTAAAAAGGACAAAGAGTCACGAGCCAACTTGCGGAAGTTAAACTTTCCCCTCGAATTTCGTTTTGAAAGACCTTCAAAGCCAACTGATTATTATTTTTCTTATGCCCTAACTTTGACCTCAGTGAATAATTAAACTAAAGATTTGATTCCACTTCCAATTTTCCCTGACTTTATGCAAAATTATTAAACTTTTTTTCTTGAGAAGAAGAATATTAATAACAATCAGAAAAAATGCAAAGCAACACTTTTGATTCGTTTTTTTTTGTCTCAATATTCTTGAGAAAAACTGTGAAACGAGATGATAGATAATTTGAGAAATGTAATTAATAACAAAAAGGTCAAGTTTGAAATGATAAAAATGATTCAAGGTTCAATGAGAACTAGTCAGTCGTTAAATAGATAAAAATGATTAAGAAAATGTGTTAATTGTTAATTGAAATGTGCCAATAGCCAATAAGAATAAATTTCTTTTAGCCACATTACGAAAAGTCGGATTTTAAATTGAATTTGCAGTTTGAAATGACAATAAATTATCACGTATGCATATCTGGCAAGATGGTCGTGTTCCTTTTCTGTGCCAGTCATTGAACTCTTGTTTGGCCTCCGTTGGTGCCTGCCGGCGAGAATTACACAAAAATACTTCTGCTCTATGCAAAATCTACTGCTGAGATGAATTTTAGGAAAATACCATCTAAATTTAACTATTTAAAATTTATCAAAATTCCACGATTCTTGAATTTATTTAAACGTATTCGTTTGTATTCATTTGAAAAAAGGAGAAAAAAAGTTCTTTAGGAAAGAAATATTTTTTCTTTTTTTCTTTATTTGTAGTTCATATATGCAATAAGTTATAGCGGATATGCAGTCTGATCTGACTTCATTCACAATGAGAATGTTAAATGGAAATATCTATTATCTCTTGAGGAGAATCATCATGGTCGTCTGTCATGTTCATTGCTATAGATAAATTGCAATTTATTATTCGCATGAATTTATGGGGAATAGAACTGCAAGATTGCTTCAGCTAAAAATTTGCCTTTGATACCCATTTTTAGAAAAATTTAATAGTATTCCAATCGTTTGTTCATTGAACTCGTTTTAATTCATAAATATACTAATGAATATCGCAGTTGAAAATGAGAAAGTCTTTTCATCATTCTTGATTCAAAATTATATTTTTATCGGCTAACAGAAAACTTTAATACGAGGATAAGAAAAAAGTGATGAAAAAGTACTTGTTATAACAACTGATTCACCTATATGTATACAAAATGACTAACTTATTCACGACATTGCATCATTTTGTAAACAAATTTGGAAATAAATACAGATCACGACCTTGGAGAGACAGCAAATTTTTGACGATTCTACATGGCTGAAAGTGGACAAAATGTTTATAAATACTGTTTTGGAAATTAGCCGGTAAGAGACCAATGGCGGCTGACAAATCCTGTTGATCCTTTGCAAAGAATCATAAAGTTTACATCATCAAGTGAAAGACATCGTAGAAAATAAAACAAAAAAAGAAACTCACCTCGACCACTTTCTTGTCGCGAATCCTCGCGTTCTTCCAGAATCTTCTCCACCATTTTTGTTGAAATTTAACACACGTCACGCGCTCAACAATGAATCAACCGTTCCGAAGTGTTTTCCACTCGTTTATCGTGAGGGATCGTTCTTCGACACTAATGCAATCGCACTGATATCAATAATTATAAAAAAGTTTCAGTCGTATATACAAAAAAACGCTTAAACTCTAAAGTTACTGATACAATCTTCAACCCACTACGAAAAAATTGCAGAAAATCTCTTTGATGTCGATTAACTCCTCTTCCTTTGTACGATGGGATCAGATCGATGTATATCAGTGGTAGGTATCACAGATATAAATAAATATACAAAGCCTATTTACACTCTGTATGTTCTCTCTTGATCGTCGTTTAAACGATACACATATCTTCATCCAATATTGGACTCTTCGACGACAACTATAATGTCGGCTTTTTATACTTTAATATTTCTCGAATAAATACTATCACAGACTTTAAAAACTGCACTCCTCTATGACTCAAAAAAAATTCTCCTCTTACTCCAAATATTGTGAAGGAACTGCAAAAAACCAAGACAGAATCTTCCTCCTCTTGCTAATTTTTGGAGCCTCCTGGCAAGATCTCAAAGAAGGTGAAAAATGGAGCTCCTCTCTGCATCCAACTGCTGCTCAACCTCGTTTCTTCTCTTTTAGGCTCACCGCGTAGACTATTTAACGGATAGTTTTGATATTTTCCGATGAGGAAAATCTCTCTGGATAGTCGCTTTTCCGTTACTATCTCACAGCCTCTCGCTCGCAGCGGAAATTGGGCTCGGAAGCACATTAAAAATCCTTCGGCTAATACATCTGTCCTGCTTTACGTTCACCGTCCTTCACTGCTCGGCAGCTGGTTTCCGACTGACTTAACAAAATGGCCGACAGTCTAGTTACCATCACATCATCCCCACCACTCATCCCCCACCTACTATACTACCACTACTGTGTAACTGTGCAAAAACCGAATATGCCGGCTTCGCAACAGTGTTGCCAACTCAATACCGCTAAAGGATTACGTGCAAAACTGAACGGACACACATTTTCTAAGCTCGCATTATTAAAAAAAAACTTTCCATGACTTCTTCTCTATGACATAATTTCCCGTAGAAATTCAGCTAACACAACGTGTCCAAAAATTTTCCACTCGAATCCAAAATTTTAACTAAAATTAATTTCGATTAAGCGAACAGATCAAATTAAGATTGCATAAAACTAGTTTTTCTGCGGATAGCAAATTGAGACAAAAGACGAATCGAAATGTTGCGAAGCAACGTTTTGATTCGTCTTTTGTCTCAATTTGCTACCCGCAAAAAACTTATATTTACTTTTAAAAAAATATTCTCATTTTGTAGACTGAAAATTAATTTATACTTTAATTAACAAAGTTGAAATAATTTATAATTTACGTTTCAATAACGTTGATGATAATAATAATAATAAGGTTTAATATTAAAAAATAGTAAAAATACAAACAAAAAAAGAGGTGTACAGTTGTCTTTGAAATCGTTAGAAATTGTTGGCAACGTTGATCTCTCTCCCCTCTTCAATTTGTTAACGCCTTCTGATGCTACCCACAAAACGACACGTATTACATATCTGCCTCTATATTCACACATCGACATTCGACATTCGTTGTTGTGTTGCTTTTGTTTTTTATCCTAGTAAGTTTGCATAGATATGCGTCGTGACAATGATGCAAATTTCTAAACTGCTGATTTAATACTAAAATGATGCAAACATCTAAAATATTGTTGCTCTATTTCATAATGAATTCCCTCGGATAGAAATTTATTATATTAGTTTAATTCTCAAGAAGTAAATAAGCCCATTGTTGTATGAATCATACTTTTTGAAATTTAAAACGCAAAAGAAATTTAACTTTGTATGCGATATTTTTATCTACTTTTTTATCAATTATATCTATTATTGAAAGATTTATCTATTTTTATTAATTTTATTCTTTTCATTTACTTTATTCATTTTATTTACTTTACTTATTTATTTTATTTATCTACTTTTATTATGTCTATTTTTATCAATTATATCTAACTTTTCAATTTAACCTATTATTGACAGTGAAACGTTCTCATACTTTTAATTATTTACGGATTGTCACCGGAAGGAGGAAATGTAACCTCATAAGGAAATGAGAGAAAATTGTAAAATATTCACAGTTTATTCTTCATGTCAATTTAGCAACATATGTGATGGTCTTCGAAGAAAAATTTTGATGTTGTTTGTAATTTTTTAAAAATTACCTGAAAAAAAGTATCTTAAAAGTGACTGAAAAGTTACTTAAAACATCTTATTTCATGTTATTTCTGGCCTAAACATCCTAATATAAAATGTTTTAAGTAACTTTGTAGTTACTTACTTCAATTTACTTAAAACATCTTACAGCATGATGTTTCTAGCTTAAAAATCTTAATATAAGATGTTTTAAGTAACTTTGTAGTCACTATTAAGATACTTAATTTTTACAGTAATATCCCTGAAGTTAGGGTCGAAAAATATTTTCTAAGGTTATTAAATTAAAAATTAAAAAAAAATTTTAAAAAAATTAAATTAAAAATATTTTCTAAGGATCAGAATTGTCAATTTTAAGTGAGAAAATTTTCAAGAGAGACTTTAATAATGTTCTTATATACCAGTTGGAATCCATACTGATAAATAGTGCCAACGTCTGCGCTTGAAGATTTTCTGCCAACTATACAGATTGAATAAATAGAATTTCTGTAAATCTGCCATGTGCGTCAATGGACTATTTCTTATAAATAAATTCGAATATTGTATCAAAGGAAGAGTATTATATAGTTGTCAAATTATTCTCAGCAGAGGAAATGATATTTTTCAACTATTAACCGGAAAATAAAATGTGAAATACTTGGAAAAATTAGATATAATTAAAGTGAACTAAAAAAAAGCGTATATCTTGATAACTTCATTGTCAACTATATTAAACACACTTCGCATTATTTTATTCCGAGTGAACACAATTTGTTGGTTGCTTTTTGCATGTGACTATAAAGATAACAAAATAAATGCGTGTACAGAACGATAAATAATAATCATTCTTGCAAAATTATTTATCTTAAATGTTCATCCTAATTATCATTTAGCTTCACTTTTTTGTCTCCTCCCGAAACTCTTACCAATTTTATTTAAATTTTTGTACTGTATTTTTCATTTTCTATATGTTGTACTTTTATTTCCATACTTTATTTTTTACTTTCTATACCTTTATTTTTACTGTATTTTTTACTTTCTATATTTTTATTTTTACTGTATTTTTCACTTCCTATACTTTACTTTTATTTTTACTTTTTACGCTTGACTTTTTCTATTTTGAATTAACATTTTTATAATTATCTTTATCGAAAGACCTGAATCTTGTTTAATACCTCAGTGGTCTCATCTCTAAAATTATACTTCAATTGTTTTTGCCAAGTATAGAACGATATGTATTCTGTAATTCGCTTGTTGTAGTGTATTATTGAAGAAAGGGTCAATGCTCTTAATAATAATAATAATTTATTTCGTCGGTATAAATTGTATTCTATATGTATTATGATTTCAGTCAACTTTGAAGTAGTCTTGCATAAGAGACTTTTAAGATAACTGTACTTGACGTGAATTGTTCGAAATTAAACTGGAAATCTTAAAACTACTATTAAGAAATCTTGATCTTTGACATAGAGGAGAGAGAGAGAGAGAGTTTGTAAAACAAAATATTAAAAATTATTTAATTGGACTCACCAGGTGATGTGTTGTTTGACTCCCCACTTTCACATTCGTTAATTACCGATTCAGCACTCACAAACCCATCGCAGCCCTCCTGCAAAAAAATTAATTTTTCTCAGTATAACAATGAAACTAAAGATATACTATTGTTATTGAATCAAATCACAGTTTTTCTACGGATATCAAATTGAGACCAAAAAAGAATCAAGATTGTTGCGATGCAACAATTCGCAACAATTTTGATTCTTTTTTGATCTCAATTTGATATCCTTAGAAAAACTATGCATTCAATTTTATTGCTATAAGAAATAAATCTACAATTACTTGATAAATATTAATTAATTCATTCATATTGCGAAAATAATTGTAAAAATCTAATTTAGAGGAAGTGGAAAAAAATCAAACTTCTCGTTATAACATAAAAACAAAAAATGATGAGATTGTTTCGAAATTGTTTAATCAAAGTGACGTTTTGATTACGGGTCGTTGAGTTCGTTTGGATTTGTTCTACATAGTATTATGTAAATCAAAATGTGGAGGTTTATTTATAAGTAAAAGACCTTCACACCAAAATATATAGTTTGTACGTACAATTGGCGTACAAATTGCACATAATGATGTCTCACATCATGAACACATTGATACATAAAATTTATAGATATCTAAGGACATTGGTAAAATAAAACTGACCTTCATAACGTTAAGCAAATTAATTCTGTCACCTAGACTAAATTAAACTGTTTGTTATCGCGTACGAAAAATTTTACAGCACTTCTCTATAACTTATTTTTAATTTTCTATATTTTTATAAATTCTTTATTCTCTTTTTTTCTCTTCTAATGTAAACGATTGATGACTGAAGGTGAGATTTGTTTTTTACACACGTAATTATTTTATTTCAATAATATGTTTTTATACCGAACGAAATTTACGATTTAAATCGGTCTAGACAAATAAGAGATTAATATTATGATATTGTGACAAGAAAATATTTTTTTGAAAACTGATAAATAAAATTTCTAATCAGTAATACATCGACCTATTTATTAAGATCTGGAACAAAATTTCTGATATTTGACTTTTTTATTAGTTGGACGAAAGTAGATTCTCTTACGTTATTAGAGCACGTTGCACTAACAATTCTAATCACATCATTGCTGATAAAACACAGATTACAGCCGAAACATGTATCAACTTTACTGTAAATAATTAAATAAAAAAGGATATTTAATTTATAACGCAGTTTCGATATTTTTGAAAAGTGCCTTCTGCAGCATTTCTTTCAAAATTTCAAGAAAAAAATATTACATTTATAGTGTTCTATAATAATTATGCCACTTTCTTTAGGAAAATATTCTCAAAAAAATTGCTGCGCACTTCATGTGATTCATCATAGTAAAAAGCCGCTAAACATAATATCAATATTCATTGATTACAGATAGAAACGAATTGAATAAATAAAATTAACTTTTTTTAGTATAAAAATATAAAACATTTGCTTAAATATTTAAACGTTGAAGATTAGAAGCTTTTGAAAAAACGAGTAGCTTAAGTTTACTCATACTTACATATTCTAAAACATGACTCAGAAATACGTGTTTAAAACCAGAATTCAAAACAATGTCTATAGTTTTACATATTTCAGTGTCGCGCCACTTTTTTAAATTATCACTTTCAAGTCCATAAATAGTGCTTTTTCAATATTAGTGTTTTCACATACTTCAACAATTTTATGCTGTGTACACTTTACAATAATAAGCAATTAAAATATTCTTTGCAAAACACATTCGCATATTTACAATATTTTATTTTGAAAATTTTATGTCCTTAAGTATATCATCCTCTTCTAAAAAGGAAAAAACTATTAATTTTGGAAATTTAATTTCCAAATTTGGCGCTGATAACTTCCTCTCAGCTGTAAATGAAGAAAATTATATTATTGGGAGAACAAAACAAATTTGTTTTCATAAATTAATAATACAATTAATTTCACTACAGCAATTACTCATTATATCAATAGGCGTTAGAAAATAAAAGAATAGAAATTTTTTCGTGTGAAGGAATATCAATATATTATGATTAGCAACTTCAATGCATCTTCATCGTAAATTCTTATCACA